TTGTATCTACCCTTTCATCAGCCCTGCCCACCAAAACACCTATCCCAACCCCACAGGCCACTACAAATAATAAAGGGCTTCCTCGTGTAGCAGCAGAATATCCATATTCAATACTTTCTCCTAACCTCTCCCTTGATAGTTCTACAGGTAGGATGTGGAGAGCATGGCCTGTGGTTTCATGCCATTCCAAAGAATTTTCTGTCCATAATCCCTTGTCCCATTCTCCTCTGATGTAAGAAAACATATCTTGAAGCAAAAGCACAAGTGACAGCACCAAGATGACACTGCATCCATGCACTCTGGTTTATACTAACAAGCACATGATTCTAAATTTCAGTGCTGCAACTCTTAGCAGTAAAGCAACTGTCGCTGTATTCATGTAAAACTGCATGGCTGAGAAGTGAGGCCTTGGAGGGAAGTGGGTGGAAGAGAAGTGGGAATGGAGGAAGGGATGGCATATCCATGCAAGAACTGAGTATCAACCCTTTGCACGTAAGAAATTTGGTCACAGCCACCTACCCATTAGCCCCAAGATTCCAAACAGTCCTGCACTTCCTGTAACACAGAGAGGGAGTTCAGCATCCTCCCTTAGATCTGGAGTTGGGTTGAACTCCCTTAGACAGAACCATGAGGACTTCGAAATCTACTGCAAATAAACTAACAAGCAGGAGCCCTTGACAACACTGCACATAAGAAGGAAAGGCCTGTGGTAGTTAGCATTACATTTATAAAACTATGAACTTCCTATACAAGAGTACTTAAGTCTCCTCACCTCTGCCCTATAATGGACCTGCTTCCAATTTCTCACACAGAACAGTTCAAATTGTTTTAGATCATCAGAACTTAGGTTAGTGAAATTCTAAATATCTAAATACCCCTGAAAGAATTATCTTGGTAGATGCAACCTCTGATTATTGTGGATAAGAAACAATAATCAAATGTCCCTTATCTCTTTTGTATTTCTTTCTTCCTTATAGAAAAATTTTCCATGACTTTTCCTCTAAAAGGAAATTAAGTTATGGTAAATGGTGAAAACCCTAAACAGCTCAAAAACCATCTCTAGGAAAAAGAAATAAATTCTTAGTTAAGAATAAAAATTCTGGCCAGGTGCAGTTGCTCACATCTGTAATCATGCCACTCCAAAGAGTTAGATATCCATAATCACTTGCCCCACCCTCCTCCATTTTAAGAAAACATATCATGAAGCAAAAGTCCAAGTGACAACACCAAGATAACACTGCACTTTGGGAGGCTGAGGTGGGAGGATCACTTGAGCCGAGGAGTTCAGGCCCAGCCTTCATCTCTATAAAAAACTACAAAAATTAGCCTGGCATGGTGATGCACACCTGTAGTCCCAACTACTAAGAAAGCTGAGGTGGTAGGAGCAACTGAGCCCAGGAGATCAAGGCTGCAGTGAGCCAGGGTCACACCACTGCACTCCAGTCTATGTGACAGAGTCAGACCCTGTCTCAAAATAATAATAATAATAAATCACATTCTTAATGATCTTATCAAAACCAGTAATTTTTCCATCTAGCATGTATGAAGTAGGATCTTCCTATAATACTAAATCACAGCTCAGTGATCTTTTAAGGAGGTAGCGAACATAAAGTTAAGATCTTAGACTTTGGCATGAAATAAACCAATGCCTTAAAACCCAGCTCTGCTGCTTACCAACTGTGTGAAGTTGGACAAGTTGCTTATTCTCTCTATATATATGCTTCATCTGTAAAATAAGGAAAGTTCTAGTACCCACCTCAGATGACGGATGGAATCACTAAATAAGATAATGTACACAGTGCACTAAGCACAATGCCTAGCACACAGTAGGCCCTCAACAGGTATCTGCTGGTACCACTAGCAGCATAATAGAAACAACAGCAATAGCAGACGTTAGATTGTTCCCCAAACTTTATTTCGCTTAGATCCACTTTGGACAAATATAAAAACCCCACTGGTAGTTATCCACCATATATCTGTCTCTCCTCCCTTTCCTGGACAGAAGAGAGGACTCCACCTCCTGTCCCCCTCAATTATGTCACTTTCAGTTCAAAGAATTAAAGAAACAATGTGCCACCTCCAGTCACTCTCTTCCCCTGCTGTAGCAACCCTTGAAGCCACACATTGAGATACAGAAATTCTGGATCCTGAGTCACTTCATGGAAAAGACCTGTCCTACAGAGTCACTTGACCTGCTTTATACTTTAGACAAATAAGAAATAAATCTCTAATATGTTAATCCACTGAGATTTGAAGTTTGTTGGTTACTGCAGCAAAACGTACCCTATCCTGACCAACGGGTACTCCTATACTTCTAAAAGGGATCCTAATATACTTCCAAAAAGGGAATACAGTTTTTTTTAATAACTTGCTTTTTGTCAATCTTTATATTTTTTACTTTGTAACACATCATATTTTAAGTAAACTTTTCAAAATCTCCATCCTTCTTCCTCATTTTATATTTTTTAATCTAAAAGAGAAAATTACATTTTACTTGTATTAAATATACAGATTAATACCAGAGCTTTCACTGAGTCATATGTCACACAGTCACATTTCACCTACAATACCCAAGGTATCCTGTGATCACAGTACAGACCAGAACAGGGAAGGGATAATGGAAGTGCCTCAAGCATTCACACACTCCTGACATATGGCAACGTGAGACAGTTAAGTGGAATTATGAATATCACCTACTCTAAACTGAACTAACACTCATGAAATGGACAAGTGGTTCAAAATGTTTTAAATAAAAGTGAAAAAGGTTTTATATGTCACTAAAGTGTATCTCTATGTATTATTCTGCTCTATCTCATCCACATTTAACTCTTTGTGAATGTCATAGAAGACAGATCATATGTTGGCAGCATAATGCATCCTGTAATTTATAATTAAATATATGTGCATAATTGGGGTCAGTGCTCAAAGATAAATTTAATGAAAGAAGCATGAGATAAGTCACTTTGGAGCTAACAGTTGAGAGAAGAGCTTTCATACTTTTTGTCCCTACTTGCACCATTCCTAAACTGCTTTAACAATTTTCAAAAAAATCTAAAATGAAGAGAAAACCAGTACAAAACTGGGGGAAAATGTACACTGTAGAAACAGGTTCATCAAGACTTCATGAACCAGCAAAACCAGAAAGAAACAAAAATGATACTGAAGAGCATCATTTCAGAGTAAAAACAAAGCTTTCAGTTCCAACTATAAAGTCACATTTCTCCATCTGAAAACCAGCCTTGGCTCTGTCAGATAATCAAAAGGATAAAGTGATTGTTTTCTACACATAGAAGGAAAACAAAAGACAGATTTTCATATAGATCACAAATGCTTCTACAGGTGCTTAAACTCCAAAGAAGTGGTAGCCAAGGAAACAGGAGGATTAGCAGATAACTCCAAGCAAGGCAGAGCACTTCATTAGACCAACATCAAGGCCAGTTATTGGAAAATCACTGGTTCAGTCAACTTAGAGTTGTCTCAATTTCCTTCAGAAAGTTAAATAATATCTGGGAGTTTTTGAGCCATGTGGTATCACACTCATTAGGCCCCAGCTCTTAACACTTCTATAAGCATGAGTAACAGGCGAAGCTGGGGCCAGGCATGCAATCCCAGAACTCTGGGATTTCTCCTTGAAGCCAGGAGTTCAAGACCAGCCTTGGTAAAATAGCAAGACCTTGTCTCTACAAAAAAAAAAAAAAAAAAATGGTTTTAACTGTCAGACTGTAGTGTGCCTGTAGTCCCAGCTACTCAGAAGCCTGAGGTGTGGAGGAACATTCGAGCCCAGGAGGTCAAGGCTGCAGTGAGCTATGATTATGTCACTACACTCTAGCCTAAGCAAAGAGCAAGACCCCATCTCAATGAAAAAAAGAGAGAGAGAGAGAGAGGAGAGATGAAGCTGGAATTTAATAAACCCAGGTATGTCTGATTCCAAAGCTCTTATAAAAATAGCAGCATTCTAGGAAATAGAGTAAGCATTTAAAAAGAAAATAGCAGCAAATAAAACAGGCCTCACAGAATAGGTAGGATTTGAAAATAAAGGCTGGCTGGAATTGAACAGAAGGTGGCAGGAAACAGGGGTGCTGAGAAGGCCACCAGTGGAAGGGAGCAGCAAGAGCAAGGGCATGCAGTGCAAACCTTGGGTGTGTGCAGGAATTACCAAGCAGTGGTGCAGAAAGCACAGATGTGGAGGGAGGGGGCACAAGAAAAGGCTGGAAAGGTTGGCCCAGGCCTTCTAGTAGAAGTGCTATGGGTTCAGTCAAGAAGGTAGACTGTATCCCGGAGGCAATGAGTAAACACTGAGGGCTTTAAAACAGGAAAATAGCATAAATGCAGGTAGATACCGGGAACCTGTTCTTCCTGTAGCATGAAAGATGGATCAAAGAAAAGTATGAAGGTGACTTGCACATAGTAGATAGTTAATTAATGCTGCATGTATGAAGGCAAAACACCAAGTTAAACTTCATTGTATATCTCTAATATAACAACCCATTTTATGGAATCCCATTTCATATTGTTCTATTTGCTACTTAGATAACAAATTTCACTCATTCTAGAAGGAAATAACGGTGCTGGTGCTTCAAAATAAAAATTGATTCACCAGTCAAATGTGGCCCTCTAAATGTTCCTGTTAAAGTGTTTATTCTTGCAGAAATTAACATTTTCTTCTTCTGTTCAAAAGGAGGCACATCTAAACAGCTGTTGCAACTGCTGAAAAAGAAAACAAAGTTAACCAAGTACAAAAGTTAGGCAATGAGGAGTGATTCTCCCCACCCCCCTTCTACCCTTCTGCAACCACGTGAAAAGGTTATTGGAAAATAAGGAAATCACAAGCTGTAACAGTATATTTCCTATGCTCTCTCATAGTGTCCAAGTCAAACACACACTAAGCCATAAACTTCTTGATGCCAAATTTTCTTCTGCACAGTTCGTGGTACCTGCAAAGCATCAACTGCTCAGTGAGAAGTCAAGGCTGAAAAATACTGACATGAGTCATGACCTACCTGATTTTCTTCATGGGAAACCCTCATCTGCTCCTTGAGGACAGACATCCGTGCTGCCTCTTCTTTCCTCAAGACTCTCTCCTTCTTAAGCTCAGGACTCCAGAATGTCTTAATACTGTTCATGGAAGATCCCAACTTGCTGTCCTTGATGTCGAGCTCTTTCCGGAGGAGGTCATTCTCTCTCTGCAGTTCCTTCAGCTGGGCCTGAAGATCTAACATTGTGCTGTCTCTTACCTGCCTCAACATGGAGGGGACCTGGTGGTGATGATGATGGGATGAGCCAGTCAGACCACCATGTTGATCTGTGTATGAAAGGACATCTGTGTGGGAAAGTCCAGCAGAAGCAATATTGGGACTACTCCCCATGGCTGTGACACGGCCTCCATATACAGCTCGATTTGTAGCCCTTCCCAGAGTCATGGTGCCCTTTGGGTAAGTTGTTGAAGCCACCCCTTCATGATCACTCAGATACATGGGTCCAGACGTAGCATAGGCTGCATTGAGGGACTGGATATTCTCCATAGACAGAGTCTTGCCTGTTCCTCCACCTCCCCCACTACTTGTTCTTCGGTGGCCCAAACGAGGAGACCTTGGCAAACGAGGTGATCTGGAAGGACTACCTTCCAGATTGGTGATTGTTCTTGCACTTCCATACATTTTTCTTCTATTATGAGGTGTTACTAAAGAGAAGAAATGCTATACTAAGTTGGGATTTGAGCTAATATTTCCACGATTGTCCAGAATTTTCACTGCATTCTTTTCACAGTCTGTACCAGAAAATAACTCCACTCAGAGACCTGCAAAGTGAGAAAAAGAATAATTAAAAACAAACTTCTTTACAACTCTAACTGCATTATATTTTTAAATATATACAGATAGATGAACCTATGTAGATAGGTGATTAATAATAGACAGAAAGAGTCACAGCTCTAATGTTCATTTACAAAGAAAAGTGACTCTCAAACTTTACTACTACACATGAAAGTTTTACAAATTCCCTCACCCTGCCCCTAAACAAGATAAAAATTCTCAAAGTGAAAAATAAGGTCTATTCCTTAGGAAAATTAAGCTCTCCATATTAGTTTGTGCTAAGGTTAGAGTTGGAACCTCCAGAAAATTCCCCATGGAAGACCTTAAAATGGTCCCTCCTTCCGGGTATAACCCCCATAGGCATGTGGTTTGAAAGTCACTCTGAGAAGCTGCTGCTTCCTCATGTCAAATATTTGGCATTCATGTTGTTACCTTCGACTTCTATACTCATTACAGACCTCACTAATCCACAACAGTCCTCTTTTCCACTAGGTTTGGAATTTTTCTCAACACAACACTCTAGACGGCTTACACCAATCAACTGGCATTGACAAATGAATTGAAACCTCCTGGCTATCCTGAAGCTAGAAGAAAGAGAGGTAGGTCAACCAATGGGATGCCTAAACACATAGCCAGATCCTCAGTGCTATTACCAGAGAAAACAACAGTCCTATCTCTTTCCTCTTTCACACATCTTTCAGGCTGGCCTCTTGAGAATTATTTCCCATTTTGGTTGACCTAAATATTCATATTAACAATTTCATATCTGTACAGAAATGGCACAGGAGAAGAGGTTCCCATCATGATTACTTAAGTATATTAGTGAAGATTTCATGTAACTGGGGCTACAGCGCTGTTAGTATTTCTTCAATTTTAGCATCCATATGGCCTTAATGGGGCTCATTATGGCCTCCTGTTCTTCCTCTTAGGACGTCTTTAGCGTGTTTCTTTTTCTTTAGCTTTACAGCAATCAGAGAATAGATTCGAGAATGGCAAGCTGAGGTTCAAATCTCCATGCTAATACAAACTAGTTGAGTAACCTTAGACAAATTTACCTTGTTATGAGCTTCTACTCTGCAATCAACAAAATGCAGGTAATATCACCTAACTCAGTATTTTAATATAAGATGTTTATAAAATACCTAGTTTGATGCCAAGAAGCAAATAGTCAATAAATAGGTTTTGAAGGTAAGTGTCTCAATGAGATAAGTACATTAATAGCAATATACAGGGGCATCCTTTATTTTCACCTGCCTATCATTCATCCCTTTCCACTCTCCCAAATACACACTTTCTGGTAATACTGTTGCTATTTTCCTTACAGAAATTGTTCCCAACCCCCTACTCACAGTTTATCAGGTTTAGGTAAGGTTGACTCCCTTCACTCCACCATCCTGGATGGTGCAAGGGGTGGGAACATGACCCAAGCCTGCCCAAGCATCATATTCTATCCTCCAGACATGGTATGAGTGATGGGCATGTGACCCACATTGGTCCAACAAGACTCGATACTATAACTCTGGCTGGAACAGCTGGGAAAGACAAACTCTTCTTCAGCTGGAATTCCTTACTTTCAAGATAGAGCTGTAAGTACTACAATGTGGAAAGGGCCTCCCTGAGGGTGAAGACAGTACAAGAGAACAAGGGTTAAACTTCAAAGAGTGTGAAACCAAACCAGATGACATCACTTCATACTCCAGATCCAGCAGTCACAAAAGTTATCATTATCTATCATCTATACATCTCTTTCCAGTTCATTTTAGTTACATATGCCAGGTGACTGATTGCATTAATGGTACCAATTATTTACTCTTGCTTTTTTTTAATTGTACTTTAGATTCTGGGGTACATGTGCAGATCATGCAGGATTGTTGCATAGGTACATACAAGGCAATGTGGTTTGCTGCCTCCATCTCCCTGTCATCTATATCTGGCATTTCTCCCCATGTTATCCCTCCCCAACCTCCCTACCCCTCACTGTCCCTCCCCTAATCCCCCACAATAGAATTCAGTGTGTGATGCTCCCCTCCCTGTGTCCATGTGTTCTCATTGTTCAACACCCACCTATGAGTGAGAACATGCAGTGTTTGATTTTCTGTTCTTGTGTCAGTTTGCTGAGAATGATGGTTTCCAGATTCATCCATGTCCCTACAAAGGACACGAACTCATCATTTTTTATGGCTGCGTAGTATTCCATGGTGTACATGTGCCACATTTTCCTTGTCAAGTCTATCATAGATCATCGATGGGCATTTGGGTCTCTTCCAGGTCTTTGCTATTGTAAACAGTGCCACAATGAACATACATGTGCACCTGTGTTTATAACAGAATGATTTGTAATCCTTTGGTTATATGCCCAGTAATGGGATTGCTGGGTCAAATGGAATTTCTATTTCTAGGTCCTTGAGGAATCACCACACTGTCTTCCACAATGGTTGAATTAATTTACACTCCCACCAACAGTGTAAAAGTGTTCCTCTTTCTCCACATCCTCTCCAGCATCTGTTGTCTCCAGATTTTTTAATGATCGCCATTCTAATTGGAGTGAGATGGTATCTCAATGTAGTTTTGATTTGCATCTCTGTAATGACCAGTGATGATGAGCATTTTTTCATGTTTGTTGGCCTCATGTATGTCTTCTTTTGTAAAGTGTCTGTTCATATCCTTCGCCCACTTTTGAATGGGCTTGTTTGTTTTTTTCTTGTAAATCTGTTTTAGTTCTTTATAGATTCTGGATATTAGCCCTTTGTCAGATGGTTAGATTGCAAAATTTTTTCCCCATTCTGTTGATTGCCAGTTCACTCTAATGATTGTTTCTTTTGCTGTACAGAAGCTCTGGAATTTAATTAAATCCTATTTGTCTATTTGGGCTTTTGTTGCCAATGCTTTTGGTGTTTTAGTCATGAAGTCCTTGACAATGCCTATGTCTTATGTGTGTCCTTGCATGTGAGATGGGTTTCCTGAATACAGCACACCAATGGGTTTTGACTTTTTATCCAATTTGCCAGTCTGTGTCTTTTGATTGGGGCACTTAGCCCATTTACATTTACATTTACACATATTGTTACACATGAATTTGATCCTGCCATTTTGATGCTAGCTGGTTGTTTTGCCTGTTAGTTGAAGCAGTTTCTTCATTGTGTTGATGGTCTTTACCATTTGGTAAGTTTTTGAAGTGGCTGGTACTGGTTCTTCATTTCTATGTTTACTGCTTCTTTCAGGAGCTCTTGTAAGGCAGGCCCGGTGATGACAAAATCTCTCAGCAATTGCTTGTTCATAAAGGATTTTATTTCTCCTTTGCTTATGAAGCTTAGTTTCGCTGGATATAAAATTCTAGGTTGAAAGTTCTTTTCTTTAAGGATGCTGAACATTGGCCCCCACTCTCTTCTGGCTTGTAGGGTTTCTGCCAAGATATCCACTGTGAGTCTGATGGGCTTTCCTTTGTGAGTAACCCAATCTTTCTCTCTGGGTGCCCTTAGCATTTTTTAACTTCATTTCAACCCTGGTGAATCTGATGATTATGTGCCTTCGGGTTGCTCTTCTTAAGGAATATCTTTGTGGTGTTCTCTGTATTTCCTGGACTTGAATGTTGGCCTGCCTTTCTAGGCTGGGGAAGTTCTCCTGGATAATATCCTGAAGAGTGTTTTCCAGCTTGGATTCATTCTCTCCATCACATCCAGGTACACCTACCAAATGTAGATTAGGTCTTTTCACATAATCCCATATTTCTTGGAGGCTTTGTTCATTTCTTTTCACTTTTTTGTCTAATCTTGACTTCTCATTTTATTTCATTGAGTTAATCTTTAATCTCCAATATCCTTTCTTCTGCTTGGTTGATTCAGCTTTTGAAACTTGTGTATGCTTCACAAAGTTCTCTTGTTTTGTTGTTCAGCTCCATCAAGTCATTTATATTTTTCTCTAAGCTGTTTATTCTCATTAGCATTTCATCTCTTTTTCAAGGTTCTTAGTTTCTTTGCATTGGGTTAGAATATGTTCTTTTAACTCAGAGAAGTTTGTTATTACCTACCTTCTGAAGCCTGCTTCTGTCAATTTATCAGACTCATTCTCCATCCAGCTTTGTTCCCTTGCTGGTGAGGAATTGTGATCCCTTGGAGGAGGAGAGGCATTCTGATTTTTGATGTTTCATCCTTTTTGTGCTAGTTTCTTTCCATCTTTGTGGATTTATCTACCTGCGGTCTTTGTAGTTGGTGGCTTTCAAATGCGGTCTCTGAGTGGTTGTCCTTTTTGTTGATGTTGAAGTTATTTCTTTCTGCTTTTTAGTTTTCCTTCTAACCATCAGGCCCCTCTGCTATAGGACTGCTGGAGATCTACTCCAAACTCTGCTTGCCTGGTGATCACCTGTGGTAGGGTGCAGAACAGTAAGGTTTGCTGCTGGTTTCTTCTTCTGTTATCTTCATCCCAGAAGGGTACCCATCAGATGTCAGCCTGAGCGCTCCTTTACAAGGTATCTCTTTGGATATACAGGGGTCAGGGAGCTGCTTGAGGAGAAAATCTGTCCCTTATAGAAGCTCACGTGCTGAGTAGGGAGCTCCATTGCTCCATTCAGAGCTACTGGGCAGGTAAGTTTAAGTCTGCTGTAGTGGAACTCATAAATGCCTTTTTTCCCAGGTGCTCTGTCCTGGGAATGTGGGGCTTTATTTTTAAGTTTCTGACATGCTGCTGCCTTTTTTCAGAGATGCCCTGCCCAACAAGGTGGTAGCCTAGTCACAGTCTGCCAGCAGAAGTGTTACTGAGCTGCTGTGAGCTCCGCCCAGTTGCTGTGTGAACTTCCTTGCGGTTTTGTTTACAGAGGTACAGTTAGACCTGCCTCTGTAACGGTGGTCTGCCTCAGCAATGGTGGACTGCCTTGGTAATGACGGACTGCCTCAGTAAAGGCGGAATGCCTCAGTAATGGCAGACTGCCTCAGTAATGGTGGACTGCCTCAGTAATGGACAATGCCCTTCCCCGCACCGAGCTGAACCATCC